CACACACACACACACACACACACACACACACACACACACACACACACGGACGGACTTTAGAGATCATCTAATTCATCTCCTCATTTTAGAAGGAGGCAGTCCCACAGAAGTTAAGGTGTAATGACTTACCCAAGGTCACAAGTAGGTAGGTTGCTAATCTAGTATTCAGACTCAGGTCTTAGGATCATAGATCAAGCACTAGAAGGAAACTCTGAAGTCAGTTCCCTCATTTTTCAGATGAAGAAACAGCCTCTGAAAGTTAAACTGACTTGCCCAAGGACTACAGGTAGTAAATGGCAAAACTGGTGTCCTTAAACCTATATCCTGTGATACTAAATGCCGTGTTCTTTCCACTACAGCGTGCTGCCTCTCATTCTAATAGGAAACAATTGGACCAAAAAAGGATTCATTTTGGAAGGTTCCTTGACGTTATTAGAAACTGATGGAAACTTTTGACAGCCTTGTTCAAATGCTTGCTTGTTTTCATTAGGTTGCTTCCTGACTGGTCATGTGGACTTGTGAGTTGGGAATGCTGCAGAGTAGTTGTGAGGAAGCTACTGGGTAGTTTCTAACTTACATTGAAAGACATTTTTCAAAGATTCAGAAGGGGTAAAAACTTTGAAGTACTAATGAAAGAAATAGTTTCTGCCAGCAGAAAGCCAATGTTGAAAACCTCAGAAGTTATAGAAGTGAAGCTAATTATATATTGTTAGCATTCGTAATTCTAAAAGAGCTTTTATACAAATGGGGAGTTCAGAAGGAATTCAGGCAGGTATTTCAAAATGGAGTTACTTGGGTAACCATGTCTTGACTGGAGAAAACCATCGGGGGATTGGGATTGGAGTCACACGTGCATAGACTAGGAACGAAAGAACTCAGCATGTGTTGTGTTTTCTCCTTTCCTATTCTATCCTAGCAAAGGAAAGTTTTGACTGAATGGACTGTTTAGAAGCACACCTGGAGAGTAGGAATTCACATGCAGTTCTGGGTTTCCTTGTTAGATAATTGGGATCACAGTGAAAGGCAACTGTTCTTTGTCTAAGAAGGTAAAAATAATTATAGGACATACTTCCCATTCTCATTGAATATATTCTAGAGATGTCCAATAGCAAAATCCACGTATAGAGACAATTATACCCAAATTACATATAATTGACTGCTGAATCAGTGTACCAGACACTGACAGGTAAGAACAGTGGCCAGGGGAGTTCTTCACCACCATTATTTGCTATCCTCCTCTCTCTTCTTCTCTCTTGGCCTGGTGCAGCTGAGGATCACCACTTTTTGCCTCATATGTTTACTACCTGATTGTACTATGCTGTGACATGGCTTCCTTTGGTCCTCTCTGCTGACCCTGATTTGTTACCTTAGTTACCTATGCTTTCCCCAAAGACCCCCTCCTGTTCTCTGCAGATGACCTTACTTCGTACGTTACTTAGCATATTAAGGTTATCCAGCTTGGACTCCTGGGTTCAAATCCTATAAGCTACAAAGAACTCTGAGAACATGAAGCTGTCTTCTTACCTATCCTTTCCACCTCCATTCTTGTTTAAGAGAAAAATGTGATTCTGTGTCTAGATATGGTAAGTAACCCTTTCCACTGGGCCCATCATCACATCCTTTCTTTTTCCTCCAAGATCATGTCCCATCAGTCATTGCTTCTCTGTCTTGAAGGGTCATTCTCTCCCTCTCTCCATTCTGAGACCTCTTCTGTCTTTTTAAAAAAGAAAAAAATTCCTTTCACCCTGTTACCTTCTCAGCCTCCCATCTTTGTTTCTTCTCTCCCTTTTACTGTCAAACTACTTCAAAGAGTACTTTATACTTTTTCCCTTTACCTCAACCCCAACCTTTTTTAAACTGACTTCTTTTCCCTCCCTAGATGTCCCATCTTATCTAAAACTAAACAGTCACTCTCATGGTCCATTTCTCTACCCCTACCCCAACCCCCCAAATCTGCCTCTATCTGTTCTTCCATATTTCTCTACTTCAGTCTGTGATTCCATTTTACTGCAAGGCATTCATGCTCTAAACTTGTGATCTTTGACTTGTTCTCTCCCCAAATTCAGCCAGTCCTTAGAGCCTGTGAATTTTGTCACTATATTATCTCTTTTATTTTCTTCTGCTACCACCTTAAATCTAGACCTAATTTTCTGTCAGCTAGACTGTTAGAATAGTCTCCTAACCAATTTCTATGCCTCCAGTCTCTTCTGCTCTATCCCACGTCCTTCTACAGTCTTTATAACACTGTATAAATGTCAGCTATCATTATTCTTAAAAACAGGTAATTTTGTTTGTTACTTTACATGTCAGAACTTGGAATGATTCCCATTGCCTATTGACTGAAGTCCAAATTCATTGCTTAGCCAACACAATCTTGCTCTAACTTCCCTTTTCATTTCAACGTGATTTCTTCCTAATTCTCCTAGTATACTGTACAGTTCAGACAAATTTGACTACTTTTTATCCCATACTTTTGAATCTATGCTTTCTTTTTAACCCTTCCTAGAATGTCCCGTGCCTGGAATGTCCTATATTCCCCCAACTACTTCCCTCCCCAATCTCTGCCTACTGAAATTCTAGCCATCCTTCAAACCCAGCCTAAGTGATAACTCCATAAAGGAAGCTTTCCCTAATTCCCTTAGCTGGAAGTGTCCCTTGGTTTCTAAACTCCTAGTATTTGTCTTATGCTCTTATATTCTGATTTGTATTTTGAGAGTCTGCATACATACCTTATACGTACTGGATTGTAATAGATTCTAAACTCCTTAAGGGCAAGGATTGTAGTTTTTTTGCCTTGTATATCTCCCAGTACTTGGCTTAGTACATTTTACATAGTAGGTGCTTAACAATTTTTTTTTTTTTTACAATTGAAAAGGGTAGCTGTGGGTGGAAGAGATTTCTCTTCTACATAAACAGGAAGAGAAAAGAGGTGATCAGTGACTTCTTTTTACTCGTTTATTTGAGCTGAGGTGTAATATTTGTTTAAATCTTGTTTCCAATATTTTCCTTTAAGATTAATAATGTAAACACAAAAGCAATTACGTTAAATTCATATTTATACCTTTGGGGTCATTTGTACTCATCTTTATTTGGGATTATAAGATCTTAGATTTGGAGCTGGAAGGGACTTTAGAGCTTATCAAATGAGTCCTCTTCATTTTACAGATGAAGATTTGCAGGTAGGGATGGAGGAAATTATACAACTAGTAAGTGTTGGAGGTAGGATTTGGACCCAGGTCTTCCTGCCTCATGTGCAGTTTTCTATCCACTATTCACCTCTCGTTCATTTCTCAGTCCCCTGAAGTCTGGATTCCCATCCTACCATTTGACTAAAACAACATATACATAGAGATGTAAATATAAAATACATATAAAGTAATTTCAGGTGGGATAGCACTGTCACCTGATGAAATTTGGTTGTTTTTCAGTTGTTTCAGTTGTGTCCAACTCTTCATGACCCCATTTGGGGTTTTCTTGGCAGAGATACTGGAGTGGTTTGCCATTTCCTGCTCTAGCTCATTTTACAGGTGAGGAAACTGGGGCAAACAAGTTGAAGTGACTTGACCAGGGTCACACAGCTTAGTAAGTGTTTGAGGCCAGATTTGAACTCAGGAATATGAATCTTTCCTGAGTTCCTGGCACTCTATCTACTGTGCCACCTACCTGCCCCTGTCACCTGATGAAATAGGAAAGGCTTTCTGTAGAATTAAACTTTTGACTGAGCCTTTAACTGAGTTAAGGAGTTCAAGAGGTAGCTGAGAAGAAGAAAGGCCTTCCAGATACAGCCAATGTATTCCGAAACACTGGGGCAGGAGACAGGATGTGATGTAGAATATGGTAATGGGGCAATAAGACAGGCAAAAAGTCTGACTGTAGAGGGCTTTAAATGCAAACTAGAAGAATTTGTATTTTACCTTTGAGCTAAAAAACAGAAAGGAGCTCTTAACCCAAGGGATTATCCTGCTCAGACTTTTGTTTTAGGCATATCAATCTTGCAACTATGTGGAGAGTGGATTGGAGCTAAGTTAGATGCCATCAGTCCAATTAGAAAACTAGTGAAGTCATCGACAGGAAAGAGGTAATGAGGGCCTCAACAGGAGTGATTTTAGTTGTGAGTAGAATAGGATTACAAAGGGAAGAGATATTGTGGGGGAAGAATGGGTAAGACTTGGGAACTGATGATGTGGGAGGAAAGTGAAGAGTAAAAAATCAACCATAGAACTTGAACCTGGGTCACTTCAGGAAAGGTGGAACCTTCAATAGAAATAGGGAAGTTGAGGGGAGAGGAGAGTTTGGCAAAAGGAAAAAAAATAATGATTTCAATCGTTTTGGATGTGCTGAGTTTGAGTTACCTGTTGTATACAGATGACTCCCAGGTCTTTATATCCAGCCCTCATTTCTCTTCTGACCTCCACACCATATTACCAACTACCCACTTAGTATATCTGCCTGAATGTCCTGGAAGCATCATGCATTCATTTTGTCCACAGTGAAACATTCCCTTCCCTGTCCCAAACTTTTCTGTTTCTGCTGAGGACACCAACATCCTTACAGTCAGTCAGGTTCACTATCTTACCACCTTGGAGTCTTCCCCACCTCTTTCTTTTCCTTCAGTTCCAACCTACCCCCATATTGAGGCAATAAGACTTGTTGCTTGTGCCTCTATAGCATCTTTCATATCTGTCCCCATCTCTCTACCCATACAGCTCTTCTCATCTTAGCTTAGGCCCTCATTACCTCTTGGATAAGAGCAGTAGTCTACTAATTGGTGCCCTTGCCCTGCATTTCTCTCCTCAAATCCACTTTTTACATAGTATTTCTTAAACATAGATCTGACCATGTTATTCCTGTCCTCAAAATCTCTCAGCCTGGAATTTAAAGACCCTCCACAGTATTTCAGTCTTCTGCCTTTCCAGTCATCTTTCCTATTATTCTCCTTCACAATCTCTGTTCTAGTCAATTTGTCCTGCTAGTTGTATCTTCTACATGACATTACTTCTGCCACTTCTTGCCTTTTATACAAAGTATCCCCCATGTCTGGAATGCAGTCTCTTTGTGTTATAGGATCCCTAGCTTCCTTAAAGGCTCCAACACAAGGCCGTGCATGGGCCTTTCCCATTTGTTAGTGTCTTCTCCTTCTTGAAATGACTTCGTATACACTTAAATTGGTGGGCATGTTTTGTCTTCCAAGTAGAATGCAAGCTCCTTCACAGTAGGAATGGTTTCTCTTTGGCTTTTGTATCTTCATTGCCTATTTCTCCCTTGTTGGTATCTTGTAAATAGTAGAAGCTTAATAAATAGATGTTAAATTGAATAAAGCCACAAAGCATGAAACTATTGGGCACATGCCACCCATTAATTATCTGGTATCATGAGTGTGAAGGGAGCTGACTATCAGCTAAGGACTACACTATGTGACGTTACCCCTTTGTAATGCAGAAAATTTTTCAGAGGTCAAGCAAGGTTTTAATTAGGATTATTTTGATTTGTCAACCTTTCTTCCTCCCCCTCCCCAGCTTTTAGGAGGTGGTCACAATAAACCTAGTGTTTTCTGTCATGGAAAGAGGTCATGTTACCAAGCCTTCAACTATAATTTCTTTGCCGTTTTAAAATTATGATAGTAATTGAGTTATTGATTCTTAGATTAATGTATGAATTCACTGTGACAAATGGGAAAAAATCAAGATAATTAGTCTGACAGTGGTACAGTATATATAGTTATAGTTATAATGTATAGGCTGAGTCATTGTTCTGGAAAATTTAATCCTTGGAAACCTCAAGTTTTTCAGCTGACATTTAAAACTGGGAAAAGGTGTTTTTTAAAAATTGTAAGTACAGTGCAATAAAAAAAAGGTAAAGTTCTGTTTAGAGTGAATAAAGAAAATGATAGTACTAGTTGACATTTATGTGGTACTTTAAGGTTTGCAAAACATTTTACATTTTTTACCTCATTTGATCCTCACAACACCCTTATGAAGTACAAGCTATTTTTATTCCCCTTTTATAGTTGAGGAAACAGTGGGTAAGAGGTTAAATGGCTTGCCCAGGGCCACACAGGTAAGTCTCGGAGGCAGCATTTGAACTCAGGTCTTCCTGATTTTAGATCTAGGAACACTGAATTACTTTGCTCTTTACAGGGTGGTTTGTTTTTTAAAGAATTTCTTTTACTTTAGTTTACTATAAAATCTTAGTGAAAATTTTAGTGCCATACTGTCGTAATTAAAGGATCCATCCACCTCTCTTTTACCTAAATGTTAAATGAATTGTTTTGGATGGATCACACTCTGTATGTGAGCTTGTTTGAACATTTGTGGCAAGTATTTATTGTGTCAAAACAATTATGTATCACATTTTAAAATTGAAAACTCAATTAACCAGGAGTAACTGTAACTTGCTTCCTCTCAAACATGTAATTTTTATTTACGAAGACAAAAATGACATTAAAATAAACTCAGAATAAAAATGAATTTGAAGCAGATAAGTTGCTTCTCCCCATCCACAGTTTCAGGGCATATCTTCAGGTCAGGGCACATTCAGCCCAGTTACCTATGCTTTATAATTTTTTTGCTGTTTAAATTGGAAACTCTCTTCTTAAGAAGAACAACTCTGAAACCTAGAAGATCCTCAGTCAATTAAGGGAGGGGAAAGGATTCCATCAGTTACACTATATCCTTCTTGAAATGAGTTAAAACAGGAGGCCCATATATCTTTTCAAAATTTTTCAACAGGATTGCAAACCAAAAGGAAATTTCATCTAATTTACAGTTCATCAGAAAACTCAACCCTAATTCCCATAATCAGAACATTTTAGAGAATGAAAGTCTTACTCTATTTACTAATTTAAAAGCATCCCTTAAATATATATGTGCACATACACACATATATACCCCATTTTTATCAGGCCTTTATTTTTAGTTGAAAAAAGTAGACCACTTAGTGATAGTTCAAAGTACTTTACCTCTATTATCTTATGTGATCTTCACTGCAGCCTTGGGAGGTTGGCAAGGTAGGTATTTTCCACATTCTATAGATGAGGAAACTGAGGCTCTGAGTTGTTAAATAACTAATGAAGTGACAGGGCCAGCCCTCAAAGCCATGATGTCAGAATGTTGGTAGGAGGGGAAGTGAAAGGACTACTTTGTGTAACAAAAGACATGTATTTTAACTTTAACTCTGCAAATATGAAGAATTTATCATTGTACTTTTCAATTTTAATTGGTAGTTAACTCTCATATCTAGTTTTCTTTAAATTTGCAATTGCTAGACAGTCATGACCCCAAATAACCTTTCATGGAGAGTAAATATGCACATCCATATTTAGATGTGTTTGTGTATGTATACACACACACACACAGACACAGACACACACACACTCCAACACTACAGGCCCTTGGAAAATAGGCACCCATTTTATTAGGGCCTTTCTAGACCCCCCCTCTTCTGTAGGTTAAGAAGGTTCATTGAAGGTAATTTGAGCAAAAGGTAATTTGATGGTTTGTGTAGATTACTCCAGGCCCACTTATTTTATCTCCCAGGTCAAGACTTATCCCCTTGCCCCCAGCCCCAGTAAGTCTGTTGCAGTGTTTCTCAGCCAGAATTCTACCTCCTCAGTTGAAGGCAGTCTCTGCTCATTGCCTCCCCTCCCAGCCCTGCCATGTGGCTTGTATATGCATTTCCTGCCTCAAAATACTGGAGTTGCAATTGGAAAGGCCTTGGCTTAAATCCCAGGTATTTAAAGCTCTGTGGAGAGCCTCAGTTTCTTCATCTTCAAATGGGGATAATTCCCCTTGTATTACCTGCTGCAGAAGGTTGGAGTGCTATGTGAACATTAACTGTTATTACTAATAATCCATTGTATCAATATTCATTCTTGAATGTTTTCTCTTTATCAAGGCTGAGTTAGTAAAAGGAAATTTACAAAGTGTTGGACTTACACTTCGCCTGGTTCAGTCATCTGATGGATATGGTGGACATGTCGTAATTGAAACTGTGGCACCAAATTCCCCTGCCTCACTTGCAGATCTTCAGCGGGGAGACAGACTTATAGCCATTGGAGGTAATTTCTGCTCTTGCTCTTTACAATGAACTTAAATGATTTTGATTTAGAAAAATAACTTTTAAACTAGTGCATGGTGTTAAGCCAGTGGATTGATATTCACAGTATCACAATTCCATTCCCTCCCGCATTTTCACCTCATCAACTTTTGACTACACAATTCTTTTTTCTCCTGTAGTATCATTTTTTCTCCCATCCTCTCTTTCCCTGCCCCCAGAGACTCTTGTCTCTCCCCACCCCCCGCCCCCAATATAAACCTCTTCCAGTAAACTTAATGGGAATATATCCAACTCCTAACATAAAAATGCTTTGCAAATGCAAGGTATCATAATTCCTCTTGCTGCTGGCTGCCACCACCACCACCACTACTACTATATGGGAGAATAAGGCAGTTATCATTCTGGGCAGAGAATAAATGGGTGTAGTACCTCTTGGCTATAGGCCTTAGCCCTGTTTCCAGATTAACCATTTAGCAGAAGATGCTGTTGAACACAATGGGATAACATTCACGTAGGTCATCTTGGAATACCATGTACATGTATGTAGATGAACATTCATTCAGCTAACATTTATTTACTTACATTATTAAGTTTAAAGTCCTGTACTAGGTGCTGAGAAAAATGTAAAGTTAAATTGGTTCCTTACTCAAGGAACTTATATTCTAGTACTGTATTTGCCATAGCAATGAATGAATGCCATGTTGTCCATATCAGGAAGTGCAAGTTATCTAATTTAGAAATTGTCTCATTTTCCTTATTTATAATCTTATTTAGTGACTGTTAATAAATCATCCTGTTGAATTTTTACCTAAGGAATCAGAATTTAACCCATATTTTCAGATGAAAACATCTGCTAAAGGCTTAAAGTGTACAACTTTTACCTGACAGTTAAAAGTTAAAACTTGAGTATGACTTGTTTGAAGAGTTCTGGTGACCATATCCTACAACATAGGGATCATTAAGTCTAGCTCCCTCAGTTTGTACATGAGAAAACTGAAGTTCAGAGGGGTCCAGGGACTTGCCTTTCAAAGTCAGTTAGGTCACAAATGGCAGAGCTGAGATTCAAACCCATTCAGTACTCTCCACTCACCACATACATGCTAGATAGATGCTTTATTCCTGTGTCCTATTCAGAGTAGCCCTGACGATACCAGGATAAATAACAGAAAACTAGGAGGAAGAAGGTGTCACTTTGTTCAAGTCCTTGTATGCCCAGTTTTTAAAAACTTTTCTGCCAGTTTTCTCCTTCCAAGAAAGATAATAAATTGCTTTGTTTAAGCAATGGTACTAGTCAGAGAAAGACCTAATGACAAGCAGGGACTAATTTACTAAACTACACCTTATTTTGTATTTACTTTCAACAAACTAGTTTTGAAAGTTAAATCCAGTGATGATGCTCTTATTATCCATAATACCTTGTTAACTATTTTTTCCCAGGTAAGTTAGTCTTCATCTCTCCCAGAGCCCATGAAGTACTTTGTATCCCTCCACCAAAGTGATAGCTTCTTGTCCTTTTCACATGCTGGCTTAAATACCAAGAATCTCCTTTCAAGTAAAACGATTACCCAACCACTTTCTCTTGGGCCACACAGATGGTAATTTGCCATCAGGAGCTCAGTCCTCTGGACTGTGTTTTCCTTCCCACCTTGCCGTCTCTCAGAAGTATTAACACACACATCAGCCTGGTCTGACTCTATATGCAATGTTCAACACCCGTAATCCTTCTTATCTTCAAAGGGAATGTTTTCCCATCTCTTCAAAGAACAATCTTAATCGTAACAATTACATTCAATTTCTTCCTTTTTTTCTTTGTCCTTTACTTTATTGTAGTCATTGTCTATGTTGCTTTTTTGGGTTCTGTTTACTTTATTAGTTCACATGCTTTCCCATGTTTTTCTCAATTCTTCATATTAATTATTTGTTATAGCACACGTATTCCATTATATTTATGTACCACAATTTGTTTAGCCATTCTCCGCAGCACCTACTTGGTGTCCAATTCTTTGCTACTCCTCAAAGCTCTGCTATAGATACTTTGTTGCTTATGACACATTTCTTTCTGCCTTTGTGTATGCCTAGCAAAGGAATCTCTGGGTCAATTTAGTCATTTTTTCAAAAGCATAATTCTAATTTCTATTTTTGGAACAGACCTATGATTTCCTTGGCATAGCCAGTTTAGAGAAAAAAAAACCCATTTTACCAAAGGAAGTCATCTGCTCTTCAATTTATAGTTTTAAAGTATTGTCTGGGGTACTGGGAGCTTAAATGACTTGTATAAGGCCACATAACCAGCATCTGTCAGAGGTAGGATTTGAACCAAGGCCTCCCTGACTCAGTGGCCAGCTCTCTATCCACCACACCATCCTACCTCTAGATTTCATGTTTCTTTCTAAAATGATCATACCAACTCATGGCTCTACTACAGTGTATTAGTGTGATTATCTTCCCACAGCCTCTCCAACACTGACTATTCCCAAAATTTGTGATGTTTGCCAATATTCCAGGTGTCAAATAAAACCTCGAGATGTTTTGATTTGTGTTTTTCTTATTATTAGTGATTTAGAGCAATCTTTTCACTGGCAGCTAATAGTGTGTAATTCTTTTGAGAACTTTTTGTTTGTATCCTTTGGCCACTTATCCCTTTCTCTTAATACATTTTAAGAAGTAAAATAATTCTGAGTATATTATTTGGTTTGAAAGAGTATAAATTCTCAACTGTTTGCTTATTTGTATTTTGATATTGAATGCAGTGGCACTAAATCTATGATTTCAGAAAAATCTATCCCAAAGTCAAATAAGTTTTCTTTAATTATCTGAGCCCACGCATCCCTCCATTAATGCAAATAATCAAAAGTTGACTATGACATTTACAGTAGATGGAAATGATTCTCATGTCAGTAATTTACTGTGTTTTTTTTGTTTTGTTTTGTTTTCATCTTAAATAGGAGTTAAAATCACATCCACAATCCAAGTGTTAAAGCTCATCAAGCAAGCAGGTGACAGAGTGATGGTGTATTATGAAAGGCCTGTTGGTCAGAGTAATCAAGGATCAGTGGTACAGGATAGTTTTACACCATTGGAAGATAATAGTTTTCTGGCAAATTCATATCAGCCGAATTTTGAAGAAGACATAGCTAGCCTTGTAGAGGATATTGATAACAAAGATATAGATTTAGAATTTGAAGATTTGGCATGCGATGTCAAGGTACAAAATGAATCCAGAGATGAGATTCCATCAGTAAGTCAGAGTCCCAAGCGAAGTTCAACACAAATTAATAAGCCTTATGGATCAGTCTCACCAATCTTAAGCCGTAAACCATCAAGTTATGTGGCACCACGAAGTTCTCAAGTCAAAGATGCACCCAAATTAGCAACAAATAGGGTCTCTGAAGCCTTAGACCCAGCACCACAGTTAGCAAGAGCATCACAAACATCTCTTCTTAAGCCTTCTGTGTCACCAAGGCCACAAATGAAATGTGTTCCACCATCCACTCAAAGCCAGGCAGAATCAGACACACCTGTTGAAAAAACAGAAAAACCACCTTCTCTTCCACAAACAGAAAAACTCCCAGAAAAGTTAGTAACGAATATTAATCATACAGAAGATGCATCTGTGTCAAAGCCATCTGTGGTAAAGCAGGAAGTGGTAAAAGACCCAATTTCAGAAAGTGCTAATAAGGACAGTGCAGATGACCAAACATGGGAATCAGCAGAAATTCTGTATCATCATAAAACAGGTAAATGGACAAGAAAGAAGGGAACTTGTATATTTGACATAGAAGACTGCCATAAGTACCTGAATGTTGCATTGTGGTGCAGAGATCCTTTCAAGGTGGGTGGTCTCATCTGCTTAGGACATGTTAGTGTAAAACTGGAAGAGATTGCTTTAGGGTGTTTAGCTACTTCAAACTTGGATTATTTTGCAAAATTCAGATTGAATCCTCCGAAACCTAAAGCTATGGTTACTAGAACTGCATTGCGAAATCTGAATATGCAAAAGGGATTCAATGAAATATTTTGCTTTGGTGATATTACTATACATTTCAAATATTTGAAAGAAGGAGAATATGAACATTATGTGAATCTTATGGAGAAGGAAAAAGAAAGCAATTTGATAGAGGACGTTCCTGCCCTTAATAAAGATGAGTATTTTATTGGACAGATGAATTTTGCAGAAAATAAACATTGTTTCCAAGATACTCAATTCCAGAATCCAACATGGTGTGACTACTGTAAGAAGAAAGTTTGGACTAAAGCAGCTTCCCAGTGCATATTTTGTGCTTATGTTTGCCACAAAAAATGTCAAGAAAAATGCTTTTCTGAAACTCCACTTTGTGTTGGACCTGAGAAGCATATGGACCGGATCTTGAAAAACTTTCGGATAGAAGGACAAGAAAATATCATAGGAATGTCTTCTAATAAATCGGTTGGTAAAAGTACAGGTATAACAAGGCATTTATGGAACACTAGCTCTCGTATCTTAAGCTTGCGTCAAAGCGTTAGAAGAAACCAAACTGAACAAATTGCTGAATTGGTAGAACCCTCACCCAAGCTAACACCAAATACTTCTGATAATGAAGGCAGCGACACAGAAGGTTTTGGTCCAAATAGTCCTTCCAAGCGGGTAGGCAGCTCAGGAATCAAATTGGCAAGAAAAGAAGGAGGCCTAGATGACAGTGTCTTCATCGCAGTTAAAGAAATTGGCCGTGATCTTTATAGGGGTTTACCTAATGAGGAAAGATTCCAGAAGCTAGAATTCATGTTAGATAAACTGCAGAATGAAATTGACCAGGAGCTAGAACACAACAATTCAATCGCTAGAGAAGAGAAAGAGGCAACCGATTCCAAGAAAAAAGCGCTCCTTTCGACTGCCTTGACTAAATCAGGTGAAAGACTACAAGCTTTAACACTTCTCATGATACACTACAGAGCAGGGATTGAAGATCTAGAGCTCGAAACTCTGTCTTTATATCAAACCAAAAAAGTGGCTACAGATGATGCAGAAGAAGACCTCGATAATGAAATATGCGAACTAATGGAGGCACAGCCTTTTGACAGCATATCAGATGAGTTATTTGACTCATCTGAACCTCTGTAGTATGCTGTTTGCCTATTTAACCTAAACAATTGCAGGACAAGAATTACACTCACTAAAAGACATCAGATACACCCCCATTTAAACACTCTTATAATATGTATGGCCTGCTTCTCCACCTTTATTTGCCTGTCTTAACAAAAAATGATAGTTGTTTTTTTTCTCCCCCCAGCAAAATGTATAACCATTTGACTTGGCTAAATTGGTTGGTTTGGATTGTATTATAACTTGTTTTTTGGATTGATACTGGGAATTTATTTTTACTGATTTATTTCTAATTTTTTCTGTTATGGAAAGTAACATTTCATGTTGATGTTCTTTTCCTTTTTGTTTCTGAATTAGTGTTAAATAGTATATTGTCAGAATTCTTACAATGTTTTAATTTACATCATGGTGATAGTTATGAACTTGCTGCATGCCCAAATTCATGACACAGCAATCATTGAGGGAACAGGTTTTGAAGTTTTTGATCATGTTACATTTATTTTTGTCTCAAATTGGTTGTAGGATGTTTTTTTGATGGGGGATGGGTGTGGATAGGGAAACAATGGGTGATCTTTGTTGGAGGTGGTTTTTGGGTGTTTTTTTTTGGGGGGGGGGGGTTGGCCAACATTATATGAAAGCAAACACTGTGGCTTTTATTTTGTCTACAATTACTTAGTAAAGATATTATATATGATGTTGCTTGCTTTCTACGCTTTTGTTTTAAAAAATGTTCTTTTCAAAAGTTGTACAATTGAATTATGGCAGTGCTGAGACCTAGTTCAGTGCTTTCTTTGAAGAGCTAGCACTGTTGAAATACAGAAAGTAAAAAATACAAATTGATGCATTTGGTCAAGAATTTCTAGCCAGGTCACTAACATTTTTTGCCTGTCAATTTAAGAATTTTAAAATTATGAAAAATATAACCAATAGATCTTTGATATTTAACCTTTCAAAATGTTGATGCTTTACCTTTTACAGATTGGTGTATCTGCTAAAAAACATTTAAAGTTCTAAACCATTTAGACACTTAAAAATCTTTATCCTGCAGAAAATGAAATATGTGAAAGGATGTCAAGTTTCAGAAGATTGTAAAGAAGTTGGGTTGGTAATTGTGTTTTGTTTCAAAAACAGGGAAGGCTTTAGGGAAGAGCATTGTACAAAAACATATTTGATGCACTGCCTATCTCCCATATCACAAAATTGCATTTAGACCAATGGAATGGATATTCTCATTCAGAATACTTTTATGTAACATAGATAGAATTGGGGCCACTTCTCTGAAAAGGAAAATATGAGATGATCCTGGATTCAGATTAGGCATCCTTACTACCGTGTAATAGATAGGAATTGTATATATATTCTCTTTCTCTTTCTCTCCCCCTCTCTTCCCCTCCCTCCCTGCTCTCAAAATATTTTGAATGTTTTAGCTTTTTGCATATGTAGAAATGATATATGCATATTTTCTTCCCTGGGAGTAGGTACTTTACAAGAGAATTGGTTTGTAGAACATATTGGAAATTAAACTGACTATAAAACAAGTTAAAATTTACAAATAGTTCATGTATGATAGCTTCTAAAGCTCACTGGCCCAGGAGGTGAAACCTGAGTTTTAGTCCAAGCATTTCAACTAATAAGCTCTATGACCTTAGGCAAGTCACATAACCTCTCTGTGCCTCACTTTCCCCATCTGTAAAATGGATTTATAATACCTTCCCTGCCTACCTCACAGGATTGTTGTGAGGAAAACTTATGTGTATGGGAGAACATTTAAAAGTAAAGTATACAAATGCAAGATGGTTATTGTTGTTAGCCTAATAAGGCAACAATCCAGGAGAAGGGAAAGGGGGAAACACAAATCTACAGACTGCTACTTTGCTCTCACAGTGAGCAATTGCTATCCTTCATGAAACTTTTAATAATTGCAAGGTGTTTAGGACATGAAATTTTTTGTTAGCCAAGTGTGTGAAAAAGATATTCCATTTTCTTTTAAAGGCCTGTTCTGTAAAAAAAAAAAAAATACTGTTGCAGACACAAATTTCCTTAAAAGTTCACATATACTATAAATTACTCAATAATTCAAATTCAGAATGAAATTCTGTCCTATTTTGGCTTCTAAAAATAGCTTACCATCAATGAGCAATAGGGCTGCAGGTCTTTTTAGTGATTATGATCATAGTAATACACATGGTAGTTTTAATTGACATCCAAGAACTCCGTCAGATCTCTGCCTGGTTTAAGGGAACTATAGAAGTAACAGAAAACTGTGAGTTCCTGAATCCATGCAAATTTTGAAAGTATTGAACTATGTAGAACGATGACTATGGAAAGCCTAGATAAAATCTTATTTATATGATGCTGCTAATGATGTATGTAAAATATAGATTTAATGTAGTACAATGTTTTTTATATACACTGGGTAAAGGGGGCTGCTGTTCTGTATTCGAGCGGAGGGTGAAGCAACAATCCAGTTAATCTAAGTTATATGACATGAAGTTCCAGAGGGAAAAAATTATAATACATTACATTACTGATGTGTAATCTTTGCTGCCGTGCTATGTTATCAATAGCTAAAAATAATAATAATAATAATAATAATAAAGACTACCACAGAAAACAAGAATATTTTTATTTTTGTGACATCTAGAGAGTTGGTAGGTGTTACGTATTTCCAAGATTGCTTGCTACTAGAATTTTGTCATGAAAACAAACATTTTTCAAGTCTGATTTCTTTAAATAAAGCTATCATTTTTAAGCTGCTTAAAAGTTTTTTTTAATATGTACAATATATTACTGTCTAAATCCAGGAAATACTGGAGGGTTTATGTATACCTACACTATATATAAGTAAGGAGAATATTTAGCTTAATTTTTCTAAGGTATTATTCAACCCAAATAAATGAAAGTGAAATTTTAACACCATTTTCACGTAAGTCACATAATCTTTATATTCAAAACTTTTGTAACTTGATTGTTAATTTGGTTGGCCTCCAAATTACTAATCTTGCATATTTATATTCCTTAACTCTTAATTGAGGTGTGCAGATAGATTCCTGTGGTTCCAAGATGGAGACATTTTGCCACAGGGAAGGGACTCCTAAATACTAGATGTTTAGCTACAAATAGCCTGGATTTTTTTTTTTGTGTTCTGAATGTTAGTATCTAAAGAGTTTATCCAAAAGATCTGAAAAGCTTTGCATCATTCTCCCTAGCCCCAATCTTCACTTTTAATATCATTATGCCATTATAGCCATAAGAGATGTCCCATTCCTAATTAAAAACTTACATTGCTATCTCCCCCTCAGATTAGCATTACTTTTTATTAAAAGTTAGATATTGTAATCACAAAATCATCCAGCAGCTAATAAATATTCACTGATCTTTTTGTGCCAAGTCATATATTGACAATGAACATGGTAATTCAGATGTGTAAGTGTCTTTTGCCTCTCAACCTTTGTCTTAATTGTGCTGCTTAGTAAAGAGATCACATTTTAATGATCAGATTATATGAAACCTAAGACCATGGAATAAACCAATCCAAATCCAGACACCCACATGCAGAAGAGATCCCAGGAGGAAATATATGTGGCCAAAATGAAGTTACTCATTTAAAAATCTTCCCGATGTCAAAAACAAATGGAGCAGTTAGGTGGCACAGTGGATAGAGCACCAGCCCTGAAGTCAGAAGGACCTGAGTTCAAATCTGGCCTCAAATCAAACACTTGACACTAGCTGTGTGACCCTGGGCAAGTCACTTAACCCCAATTGCCTAAAAATAGAAAAAAAACAAATGCAAACAGGCATAGTATAGAATTCAGAGCCCGTTTATTTCTTGTTGATTGAAACATGAATTTAACATGTACACTCATGCCTCTAAACACTTGTCACTGCTGCCTCATTGTAAGCTTCTTGTACTTTCATCAACACAATTTTTTTAACCAGTTACAAACGTGATACCCGCTTTTGTTCCAAGTACAGTCATAGGGAGAGAGGTATTTTGTTTATACATATTATGATACATACACATATGTATTTAGTGAATCTTTTGTTCTGGTAAGTAATTAGGAATGCATCCCTCTTTTCAGGTCTTACCAACCTGAAATATTAGAATTATTTTTAATTAAATTCTTTTGCTTTCTTAGTTGGAATTTTTCATACCCCTCAAGTGGCTATCTTCTGTCCCCAGACTATAAGTGATAGAAGTCTTGTTGACTAGTTCTCTTAAGAAAATTAAGTATTATCTGCTGAAGTATAGTTCTTTGTCTTTGTGCTGCTTTCAAATAACCCATGGAAGTTTGTGGGGTTTTTTGGCCCACTCCTGTGTATAGCCAGTTACACATGTACCATTAGAGAATTTATGATGACCTTTAGTTTTAGCCCCAACCAAGCTTTGCCTGGACTGTTTTGTACATCAGAGCCAACATAGATAGCCCTATGGCAGTACATGCTTAGTTAACTTGTTCTCTTTGAGTATGTCATACATAGAAACTGGTGTTTTAATCAGATGGAACTCCCTAAGGTAAATGGGAGTGAGTGTAATTGGCCATCTCTTAAGAGAATAAGAAATAATGAAATCAGAGATATATTTTGCTTTTTAACTACTTGCCCTTTGATCTGTCTATAACATAGAGTTTTCTAACAACCAGTAACTAAGGTTTGGCTACTTTTGTTTGCATTACGATCACAAAATTGTAAAATTAGCCACTACCATCATTTCAGATGTATACCACAACATTGATATACGGTACTCTAAATACACTTTGCACATTTTACAAAACCATATGTAAACAAGTCTCCACTGTTACACAAAATATGCTGTTACTTTGAAAAAAGGCACATAGTTTAATTCACACATGAAATCCCACAGTACACTGCATGAAATGAATGTTGATAGTTGTTGAATCTTTTTAGACAACTTGGTTTTATTTTTATTTCTTCCAGTTGTGTAAACGGATATGTGAATGGACCCTCTGCACCTAATTGTGCTTGCTTCATTACCTTAAAGCTTTAAACATAGATCGTTCCATTTTTATTTCCCCTCCATTTTAAATTATATTTTTTTCAAATAAATCAGTTATATAAACATTTCAGATGTATAGAAAACACTAAAGTTACAAGCAAACCAAAATTTAATATCCTACTACTATGAGACAGTGTTGTTCTAAAGAGATTGAAGATATCTGAGATTTTGGTTAGTTTTTGTTTTTTTTTTTAAGCAAATATTTACCATTCAGGCTTCTTTTTAGTATTTTGAACTAACGGTTCATCTATCGGGTCACAGATGAACAATCTAAATTGTGTAAGTTGAGTACACTTATATAACTTAACACCCTCCATGAAATCTTTATCCAAGAAAGGTCTAGTAAACATTAACAGAAGTTTTTAAATAATACCAGTGTATGTTTGCTGATATTTTTCTCTTCCTTTTTAACAAAATTTCTCTTTAGTTGAGTCTATGATTACCACCAAAATCCTATTGAATAATAATAACTTTACATTAATACCTCTTTCCCAAAACATTGTATAGGTAGTTACATGGAAAAGTAATGCCAATGTGACTTCACATATATGCCAAAAAAGTGATTGACAAGTTCTGGTAACAACCTTAACTTAAAAAATGACACTTTCCAAAGAATTTTAATTTTATTTCCCCAACCAGTTTTTACCTTGTATGTGTATACTACAAGTTTAAATACAATTCAGCACTATTCATTCAGGATAACTTTTTGAAATAGTTATTGGATCGGTTCTATTCTTTGGACATTGAATGGTTTTTGCATTGGGATAGACTAGATAATGTGCTGTATGTTCATACACATTACCAGTAATGATTCAGAAAAAATAGAGAATCTTTTTCTAAGTGTTCAGGAGTGTAAGTTTAAAAAATTATACTTGATTAAGATTCAACTATTTATACAGATTTACACTACAGCTTAATAAAAATATATTGTGTAATATTTAATAAAATTAAATACATAAAATAAACTTTTCAACACTATACAAACCCCTAGAAAAGCTTCTTTTTCTTTATAAGGCTGTTAGCAATCTCATAACATTGGGAAAAAAATGTTTTTAACCTTTGGTTTCTTTACTACACCATTAGCATACAGTACAACTAAGATTTTTTGATGAGCCATTTCACGGGAAACACTGCATTGTAGACAACAGAATACTTATGGCTTTTGAAGTTGTCAGTCACTTTCAGATTCTTCATCATCACCTGTTGGATATGACTGAATGTTGTTCTGCGTGTACATTTTTGTTTTAATTGGGCAGTTGTGATCCATGAGTATTGCCTAAAAAAAGTATGTAGTATTAATCTTTGGGTTGTTTTTGTTATGTAGACCATAATTTTACTATTATAATTCTGAGTTTTAGAAGTACTCTTAATTTGCAAATTCTTTTTAGTAAGGAGCCATTTAGTCTGGAACCTCTAGCGGTCAGTGGGTGCCCAAACCAGGGATCTGCTCTTAATGATAGCATTTATTTAGCCTTTTAAGGTTGCAATGCACTTATGTTGACACAGTTTTTCCTCACGAGAACCTTGTGTGAGGGTAGATGATATTATCCCCATTTTACTGGAAAAGAAACTAATGACTTGCCCAGAGTCACATAGTTTTAATAAGTAGCTGAGGCAGGATTCAAACTCACATCTTCCTTACCCCAAATCCAGTGGTCTAACCAGTGTACCACCTACTACCTTGCAAAAGTATTCAAAGTCTTCAGGCAAAAGAAAGATTTCTTGAGCCTCAAAGCTCTTCATATGACTTAATTAGACCCATCAAAATGAGGGTTGGTAGCCAACAACCCGTAAAACAGTAAAGTATTATCCTGGGAATGCAAGTTAGGGTAAGTTTAGTACTATGCTTAGAATGTTAGAGGGTCAACTAGGTGGCACAGGGTGCTGGGCCTGGAGTCAGGAAGACTCATCTTGACTTCAAATCTGGCCTCAGACACAGAAAAGTCACTTAACCCTGTTTGCCTTAAACCGCTGGAGAAAGAAATGGCAAACCAGTCCTGTATCTGTGTCAAGAAAACCCCAAATGGGGTCATGAAGAATTGGACACAGCTGAACAACCACCACCAAATGTTGTGGAATCCTGAAACTGGAAGAAGCCTTAAGAGACTATATCCAATCTAATCTTCTTTTACAGAAGAAGAAACAAGTCCAAAAAGGGGAATGATTTGCCTCTTTAGACACAGGCTTAATGTTAGCAACAAAACTGGACTCTGGGTCGTGTAAGTCCATTATGGGCATTTTGTGCCACACTGACTTCCCTGTTTTGCCTAGGAAAGTTTTTTGCGAAGCTTTTCTGCCTGACATAGTAAATTTAGTGCTGGTCTTGGAATTAGAAAGATCTAAAGTTGGATTCTGCCTCACACAGTTATTAGCTGGGTGACTGAACAGGTCATTTCATCTAATAAGCCTCAAATTTTCTTCTCTGTAAAATGGGGATAATAATAGTAACTTTCATAGAGGCAATGTGAGGATCAAATGAGATAATATATTTAAAGCATGTAGCATAGTGTCTGACACGGGGTGCTTAATAAATGCTTGTTGAATGACAACCCATGAACTGGAGGCCAGTACTCCTTCCACCACATTGCTAGCTTCTACCTGCAGATAACTAATCTGCATACCCACCTACCACACATTGGGGCCAATATCATTTTTATTTTTGGTCCACCCCTATGATTTCATTGATGTTAGGTACTTGTGGTATGGAAACTTCTCCCACCAAGCAATTCATCTGTAACTCACAGTCTCAGAGAGTTGTCCAGTGGAACTGAGAGGCCCTTGGTCACATAGATTGCATATGACAGGCAGAGTCTGAGTCCAGGTCTTTCTGACTCCAAAAAGCCAAGGCTCTGCCATGCCACACTCTCTGGGAGGGCCAATACTACGTTTTTTTTTTTTTTTAAATACCTTTTTGGAGGAGAAGGACAAGAATAACAGCAAAGGGTGAGGGATGGGGAGAGAACAGTATTATAGTGTTCCCAGAAAGTCATTTTCAGTTTAATCTGTCAAAAATCTAAATAAATGCTTAGCAAGATGAGTCATTAAAGACTTGGGATGTGCCACTTACTGCCCATAATTGGAGGCTGGCATAATGGCATCATTTGAGTCTGCAAATCAACAGCTTCTACTTGTGTCTCAGCAGGAAGGAGTGGAGTGGAGAATGACAGGAAATGAGGGGGAGACAGTAGTGCCGCAGAAAAATTGATTATTAAACACTTGAAAAAAATCCAATGTTGCCAAGTTTAGACATTCAGGATTGAAATGAATAGCTGCAAAATCCAGGAGAAGGAATACAGGAACAAGAATAAGTGCCTTAAGGTTTGTTGGTCGTAGCTTGCAATGTAGCCGAAGGCACTAGCCTCCATTCCTGAGTTCTTGTCATTAGACATTAAGCACTCTGTGTGTGCCAGATACTGTGCTAAGTGCACAGAGACCTCCCACAAATAACAATAACAATAATAATAATAATGATATTGATGCCCTCAAAGTCTTATGAGGAAACAACAAATTTAGATAACACATATTTGACAGGAATGATAGGGAAATCATTTCTAGGTCTTCCCGTTTTACTTTCAGAACATGTCTACTTGTTACTTATTCAGCCTTATCTGTTAAGAAGTGGTTGAGTTGTTTTGTTTTGTTTTGTTTTCCCCTTATATGGAGCTGAAATCTGCCTGCGATTTTCATCCGTTGCTCCTAGTACTGAGGTCTAAACGATAGCCTTAACTTGTGGGATACAAGTGGCTGAGTAATTGGGAGCTGTTCTGGTAATACACAATTCATTAAAATGAGACAATTTCCTTGGTGCCTTCAGCTAAAACATCATGAAGGAAGGTCAGTTTCATGTTGTGGAGGTTTCCATTCCAAAGGAGATGAATGTATTTTACATTTGAGTCATGAGATTGCAGTTGAGAACTGTCTGCTAGGATCATAATTAGTTTGTCCAACTCTTTTATTTTCAGATGAAGAAAAGATGGCCTAGGGAAGGGCAGTGGCTTGCCCAAAGTCACCAAAGCTGGAAATAAGCATGACTCAGTAGAAATAGCATTGGATTTAAAAGACATGGTACATGTGATTGTGGGCAAGTCAACCTCTGTGAACTGATTATAAAAATAGCATTTGCACTGCCTACCTCAAAGCTTTTTTTTGAGAAAAGCTCTTTAACTTTACAATGATATGTAAATATAAATTACTAGTAACAGACTTAGAACTTTATCAGCCAACTCTTACTACTCCTCTAGTACTCTTTCCATTATAAGAGTTTCATGCTAGTAATCAGAAAATATTCCATCACATTCTAAAATTTCTTACCATTTTTTCTTCCTTGGCAGGTGGACTTCGAAGGAAAAAGCAGAGAGGGGCAAAGAGAATGTCAATGATCCCAATAATTGTCATGAGCCACGGGAACCCAATTGCCTTTGCGATGGCCCCACCAACAGAAGGGCCTTTTAGAAAATAGAAAATTAGAGAGCTCCCTAAAAATGTTATACTTAACAAGATGTACAATTTTTAAAGTTATATTTTACACTATTAAATAATTCAATCCATTTTAAGTACTTAGAAAAAAAAACTATTCTTACCCAATGCAAACCCCATGCAAAAGGCAACATCTGCAATGGCATATACACTCCCATAGACAGAGACATGGCGCAGGTCTACCAGGTAGCCCATGATGGGCATCATTGAGGAATCTACCATTCCTGCCAATAATTCAGAGAAATATATTATACAAAAAACTTTACCTTTTGGATTTTAACATCAGGAGACAGCTAAGTTGTGGATTTTAACATCAAGAGTTAGCTAAGTGGTACAGTAGATAGAGCCCTGGGCCTGGAGCTTGGAAGACCTGTGTTCAAATTTGACTTCAGTCACTTATTAGCTGTGTCCCTGGGCAACGACCTTAACCTCTGTCACAGTTTCATCATCTATAAAGTGGTGATAATAGCAACCTACCTTCTAAGGTGGTTGTAAGGATCAAATGAGATTATATTTGTAAAGCACTTAGCACAGTGTCTGGCACATAGTAGGTACTTAATAAATGCTTGTTTATTTCAACATATGTGAGTTGCCAACAGGGTCTTGCAAAAGAATACCTTCTTTTTACTCAGGAATCACTACCTAAGCCAACTTTTTAAAAAATTAACACTAAAATAGGTTTTCAGGCCAGGTTTGCTAGGGCTGTGCTCTCCTGAGGCAAGAGGAATAAGAGTCACTAATGCTGAAGCTGTAAGTCGCTTCAGTCATGGCTGTCCTTTCTTTTTTTTTCTTTTTTTTTATTTTTAGGCAATTGGGGTTAAATGATTTGCCCAGGGTCACACAGCTAGTAAGTGTCAAGTGTTTGGTCTGAGGCCGGATTTGAACTCAGGTCCTCTTGACTTCAGGGCCGGTGCTCTACCCACTGTACCACCTAGCTGCCCCCCTGTCCTTTCTTTGTTATCAGTGGACCTAGCTATCATTGGAAAGAACGCTGTTCGTAGTCCTTTGACCTTTCCAACCCACCATTGGGCATATACCCCAAGGAGGTCAATGAGAGAAAGAAAGATCCTATGTATAACAAATATTCAGAGTTGTACTTTTAGTGTTAACACCACCCCCCACTCTCCCCTCTCTGCCAACAACAACCCTGGAAATAAAACAGATGTCCATTAATTGGGAATCACAGACCACATTATGGCTTATGAATGTAATAGAAAAGGATCATGTACCTAGAAATGGAAGGGACTTAGGATGTCAAAAAGGTGATATGACTCGCCAAAAGCCCTACGGGTAAGAGTTAAGTGGCAAAGCCAGGATTTGAATTCAAATACTGTTACTCTCAAGTCCAATAACCTTTCTACTGCGCCATGTTAGCTCAATATGATGGTTCCATAAGAAATGACGAATGTGAGGAATTCACAGGAGCTTATTACATGAAAATTTTGCATGAGCTAATGCAGAGAGGTAAGAAGGTAGAACCAAGAAAAGAACAAAAGCCAAATAATTAGGACAAAATCTATGAGAATCACCCTACATTGTTACTAAATATCCACCTGCAATGGTCGATACGCTCCTATCAACAGAGATGTGGTGCAGAACTACCAGGAAACCAATTAATTACAATGACCAGCTCAGGTGCCAGGGAAAAGAGGAAGCAGCCTCTCTCCTCCTGGCAGAGAGGTAGGGGACTGCAGAGCGCTAATGAGACATATATGCTATAAGACACGGTTAATTCATTAGAGTGACAAAATGCAGGGAGTTTTTTTTTTCATGTAAAGACAGATTTCAGTGTGCTGATTGTGTTTTTGAGGCACAGAAAAGATGTTGTGGTTGGTGATGGAGCAGGGAGAACACTAGATTCTAGGGAGCAAAAGTCCTGAGCTTGAGTCCCAATTCTGCCACTTGTGAGTTGCATGATCTTTGGCAAGTCACAACATCTTTGTGGTCCTATTTCTTTTGATCTATAAAATGGGTTTGATAATACTACCTACTCTGAAAGGTTTTTAATGAGAATCAAGTGAGAATAATGTTTGTAACAGTGCTTTGGACAGCCTAAAACCCTATGTAAGTGTCAGTTACGATTATCATTATCATTCTCTTTGCCTTTTCTTTGATTTGTTCTATCTTTCCCTATATCTCTTCTTGGTTCCCATGGATCTCTTATTTCTGAGCTCTTGCTAAGCTCCCAAGTTAGCTGTGTTCTCCTCATTCCTCAGTGTCTTTCATTTCTGAACCTCAGTTTGGGCACATACCCTGCTTGCCTGGTCTCAGTTCTGGAAGGAGTCCCCTCAACTTTAGAGTGTATAATAGATGCCATGTTGGTAGTAATGGATTTTCATGTCTCTTCTGTAGAAAGTGAGACTACAGGATAGTTCAAATCTTTCATTTCTGCTCTTGCCCCAGGTTTTATTTCAGCACAGTTACATTTATCATAAATGTTCTGTGTGATTATACTCATAGAATATAATATTCTTCCAAATTCAGTGGCAGGAATTCCCTAATCTTCATTTCTGTAATGCTAATGCTACAAAATTGGATGCCTTTGGCCGCAAAAATACTCATTGACTAGGCCCTTTGTGAGTCAATGTATGATTTTAGTTCTAAATCTTGCCATGAAACACGATCTTGCAATTCGATACTGGGACTCCTATAAGTAAGCTTGTTCACAGATACAGAGTGTACAAATGTGCTCTGTGGAAGATATTACCCTGTTTACCCAGAGTCAACAGCAGAGTGTCAGTTTGCCTTCTGTAAATATCAGCCTTTTGCAAAAAATGGTTTTCATAAAGAAAATGACTAAAATCTGGAAGTAGGTCCCTTTAATATGGGTAAACTGCACATTATATTTGAGTCTTAAGCTGCTGCCCATCTAATCTTAAGCTTCTAGAATGTTTTAGGCTGCTATCAGAATGAGAACAAATATTTCCAAGCACAGGTAACTAGTAAATGTTGTATTTCGGCGGAAAGCTTATGTGACTTACCAATTGCGAAACCAACTCCAAAATTTGGTGCGATCAGTCCATAAATGTTTTTTGCAAATGGTACCTCAAAAAAAAATTGGTTACATATTTTTTTTGAAATCATGTAATTTCATTCTATACCATTAGGCTTATTTTAGTGAGGCATTAACATTTTTTTTTTGAAATCTGATATGCTTATTTACTTACAAGTAATTGGGAAGGAGAATAAGAATCTGAATCATAATAGAACATTAGCAATCATCTAGATTACCCTCCTCGTTTTACAGATGAGTGAACTGAGGCCTATGGAAGTGAAATTATTTGACACAGTTATCAAATCCCTAATCACAGCATCTGAGAGCTAGAAAGGATCATATAAATAAGACACATTTTTCAGCTCCGTAAACATAGAAAGCAAGATTAAAAAGACCGACTTAATTCTAGTTAATTTTCCAACAAGGACAATCAAACTCTGTGTTAGTAATAGTAGTATTTATTTTATCCTAGAAAGGGAGGATTAGCTCAGTATTTCCTCATACTTTGCCATAAAAAGTATCATTCATAGTCATTTTTATTATGAAAATTTAGTAGTAAATCAATACACATTTATTAAACATCTACAAAGTACTAGCCACTAGAACAAGAGGATTTCCTGACCTGAAGGAGCTTATATGCTATTAAGGTCATCAGTATGATTATCTGTGTGATAATACAGAATATTATGTCTTTCATCTCTATGGCAACACAGGCTTTAGGCTTCTAAAATCAATAGAGTAAGTTTTGGGAGGAAGGGCACTAGCAGCTGGGGTGATGGTAGAGTCAGGAACGTTTTCATGTAGAAGGAAGTGCTTGAGTTGAGTGTTGAAGAAAACAAGGGATTCCAAAAGACAGAAGTGAAGAAAAGCTGTGTTCCATGCATAGGGGACTGTTGGAACAAAGGTATGGAGATGGGAAATTGGATTGTTCTGTCTGAGGAACAAGAAGACGAATTTGGCTGTATCACAGAATGTATTGAGTGGAGTAATGTATACCAAGGCTGGGAAGGTAGGATGGCATTAGGTTGTGAAGGACTTTCAGTGCCAAATAGATATTCAAAGCAATAAGGAGCTACTAGAGTTTACATAATCTGTGCTTGAGGAAAAGAATTTTGGCAGCTATGGGAAGGATAGATTGGAAAAGAGAGAGATTTAAAGCAGTAAGACTAATGAGAAGATTGACAATAGGCCAGGTGAGAGGATTTGAGAGCCTGAACCAAGTTGTTGGTACTATAAGTACAGTACTGAGTAGGAGCAAGATGCTAGAGGTGTGGAGATAGAACTGACAAGATTGGCAATCAATTAGATTGTGGGGGGGGGTGAGGGAGAGGAAGGAGTCAAAGATAACACCAAGATTACAAACCTGGGAGATTAGAAAAATGGCAACACTTTTCAACGGGAATGCTAGGTAGCTAGATAGTGCAGTGGATAGAACACTGGGCCTGGAGCCAGGAAGACTCCTCTTCCTAAATTCAAATCTGGCCTCAGACACTCATTAGCTGTATGACCCTGGGCAATTCACTTAACCCTGATTGCCTCAGTTTCCTCATCTGTAAAATGAGCTGGAGAAGGAAATGGCAAACCTCTCCAGTACTTTGCAAAGAAAACCCCAAATGGAGTCACAAAGAGTTGGATACAATTGAAAAACAACTGAACGACAAATTCAACAGGAATAGGAAAGTTCAGAAGATGAGTGAGTTTGAAAGAAGAGATGAATAGTTCTTTTTTGAACATAGTGAGTTTGAGGTGCCTGTAAGACATCCAGTTTGAAATGTCCAATAGGCATTTGGTGATACAGATATAGTTGGTGAGGAACTAGGTGGGGTAGATTTGTCTGGGTGTCATCTGCACAGAGATAATAACTAAGTGCATGAAAATAAAAATGTTGGTAAAGTTTCTAAAAACACAACTGACTTTTAAATATGTAGCATGAAGCAAAAATGTTTGGTGGGAATTGGTAATATTTGGCCAAAGCTGAATGCTTCATATCTTGGTCACAGAACTGAGTTTTCATTTTAAAGATGTCATACTCACACATAAAATGCTGATTCCAACAATGATCATCCCCAAGAGAGCACAAAGCCACCTGTCAAAAGAAAAAAGCTCCCAGAGATCAATGAGAGTAGATTGTATTCTCCTTGCTTTTTTCAAAGCTATCATTTGAGATTTCTAAAAGGATTTTGACTGGGAAATCTTTACATTTGGGGATCAGCTAGAAATACTTGAAAAAAAAATTAAAGGAACTCCTTTATAAGTACAATGGGTTTTTTTTTAAATTAATCTTACCTTCCCATTTTGTGTGCAAGTATTCCAAAAATATTGGTTCCAATAAGATAAGAGATACTAGCTGGTAGGAAAGCAACGCCTGAAAATTTATGAAAGGGACACCTTATCAGTACTGATTTCAGTCAAATATTAGAAAAACTAATAAATGTAGCACAGCTGTTTTGATTAGAGCATATCACATGAAGCCCTGTAGCTCTGCACCCAAGCATCTAATATCCGGTCTGTTACATGTCTAGCCTGGGCCCCACATCATTTATCCATCAAATACAAAACCTTGTGATGCTATAGAAATGAAAGACATTTATTTCACTATCAACTGCAAAATCTCTCTGTGAAAATTTTATATTTAGGTCTGCTAAAGGTGGTAAGTTTTACACACAAGGTCAAAATGGGCAGCTCTGAATTATCAAGATCTGAGAGCGCGGTGCAGAATGCCTAGCTCTGTACGTTAGCTACAGAAATATTAATGGAAACCCAAGTGTCATTTGGAAAACTTCAGGATAATACTCTGCTAGGAGAGAAGACATTAGTTATCCTGCTCTGGAGTCATGCATTTTGACTGGTGAGGGCTTCAAAGGCTTCATTAAAAATTCTGCATTAATCAAGTCCAACCCTGGTTTCCTTCCAGTGAATTTGCCCATGGGCACTGATGTCTGCCCACCTCTGCCTCTGAGGTTGCTTCCTTAGAGATGAGGTCATTCTACACTCCATCCTGATAATGATTTGTCTACCCCACCAAGTATAAGATTTGACTACGAATTTGACTACGAATTATTCCAAGGGCAATAAAAATAAGCAAGAAGCTACATAACCTACAGTTCCAGGTGCCCTAACTGGAATCAAATCACTATACCTTTGCCTTTCCTTGCTAGTACTTTAAAAAGCATACACACAAATGAATGTCTGCCTTTTCCTTCAGGTTAATTCAACAAATAATTCTTGAGCACTTAGTATGTGTCTACACTATAATGGACATGAGGAATAAAAAGACAAAAATTAACAACTCCCTGTCCTCAAGGAGCTTATGTTGTACTGGATTCCAAAAATAATAATTGTAGTCATTCACTAGCAAATACCCTAAGAAAGCCACTGGCCATTCTGACATGGTGAGACCAAGGGGTTCAGTCCATTAAGTTACATTTTTAAACATCATCATATAAGACCTGGGAGCTCTACAGAGCCAAAACATGAAATGTAATTTCAATCTTCGAGTATTATTTTCCACATATCTAACAAGATGCAATGGCCAAGTTAATATATGAAGGGCAGTGTGGTATATTAGGAAGAGAACTAGACTTAGAAAACCTAGATCCAAGCCTCTTTCCTTTTGCTTATTGTACTGTAGATGTGGACAAATCACTTCAGCTTTTCCTCATTTGCAAAATGAGATTGAGAGGCAGTGCAATGCGGTAGGTAGAGACAGAGCTGGCCTCAGCAACAAGAAGACCCAGGTTCTCTGACACAGCCTGACTCTGTCAATCTGCTTAAGCGGCTGAATCTCTTAGTGCCCTGGGCAGCTCCCAGACTATAAATTGCAGAGGAAAAAGCTGGTCTGCACTGGAAGCAGAAATTCCTCACCAAGAGCTCAATACACTGATGATCTCACCCGGCCCCCTCCTCAAAATTGGAGGTGGGGTGAGTTTTAAAGGATTTTCAGAGAAGTTATTAGGATCAGATGAGATGCTGTTATTCATAGCATTGTATTGATCTGATTATGAGGCAGATCATTAGCATCTATGTCATATGAGCAGTGTCTTGAAATGATATACCATATGGAGCTCAATATGTTGGATTTAGTGTTAGGAAGTCCTAGGTTTGAATCCAGTGTCTTACATTTACTACCAATTTTGCTAAGTCACTTAAACTCCCTCTGCCTCAGTTTCCTCATCTGTAAAATGAGGTAGTTGCACTAGATAAGGTCTCTTCCAGTTTAAGATATATAATCTTTACATCCCCCCAATTCCAAGCACAATGCTAGGCACATATGTGTTTGCTGATTTTAATAGAAGTGAGGAGCAGAATCATTTAATGGAGGCTTAGCATAGTGAGGACTGAGCTGAATAGAATAGCAGAGTTCAAGTCTTACAGAAACTGAAATGAATGAATCAAGGCAATTCCCAAAGCCCTGCAGATAATAAATGAAAAAAGTAGATTTATTGGATTTATTTCCTAATGGGGACTCTGGCCCTGCCTACATGGCATTTTGCAGATGTTTTTCACCTATGCATAGGTCTTTTTTTCTGCTTGCCTCATGTATTTACATCTGGCCCTCTATTAGGTTCCATACATGGTCTTGTTCTTGATAAATCCAAGCAGCCCACCTGCCTGCCTGATTCTAAACCAGACCACCACTACCCTGCCTTTTTTTTTCCTGAAGGTTTTAATACCTAATTTATTGAAAGCCCCCAAGTCATAGCATGGAACTGGGGAAAGCAAGCCTGCCTGAGTAGCCAACAGCTGGTTGGGATACATTCAATTAGTGAGATTATTAAATCATTTAAGTGGAGTCATCAGAAATATCCCCAAACCATTTCAACCCAGGAAGGCTTTTAAGGCAAGTCTACTATAGCTTGCAGTCTATATACAGAGGCTTATCTACTTGGACCATATCCCACTTTTTCACAGTCTTCTTTTGCAGACCTACCGAAACCCACAGAACTGACTTAGTTTATGAATACTTACGATGGACCTAATGAACAAGGCTGATCCAATGCCTATTTAGAGGAAGCGTGATGTGTGAGACAGTAAAACACTTTCCTTTCCCACAAAATACCTCACCCACTGGCCTAGAATTCCTGAAAGCATTACCAATAGGGTTATTCCTTTCATCCATTCAACATTCACTCAATAAATACTAAATGTCTTCTACAGAAGTCTATTGACCTCCTTCCCAAGGGTTCATGGAAAGATTTCAGGGGGTCTGTGAATTTGGGCAGGAAAAAATATTACATCTTTATTTTCTCCAATCTCTTACCTGGAATTAACATTTCCTTCAATTATGAATGTTGGCAAAAAAAAAAACATTATTCTGAGAAGTAATCTATAGGCTACAGTAGTTTGCCAAAGCAGACCATAACACAAGAAAGGTTAGAGGTGATCTTGGTCCACTTTGTGCAAGGGGTTATGTTTCTTTGGATTGAAATCCTGAAGACCACTGTTTACACTGCAAAACTCCTTTACAGATATGATCTCATTTGATCTTCAGAACAACCCTGTGAGTTGGGAAGGGTGAGAATTATTAGTCCCATTTCATACACAAGGAAACTGAGGCTCTGTGAGTTTCAGCCACTTGCCTAAGGTCACATAGCCTAGACAAGAACCCCAGACTCTTCCTGCCTTTTGATCCAGTGTTCTTCCTATTATAGCAGGAAGCCTCTCATGCATAACAGAGAAATTTGAATCCAAAGGAGACTCTAGAGTTAATCTAATCCAACCCCTTTATTTTTTGTTGTTGTTGTTCACTTGTTTCAGTCATGACCCTATTTGGGGTTTTCTTGGCAAAGGTACTGAAGTGATTTGCCATTTCCTTCCCCTGCCCATTTTACAGATGAGGAAACCAAAGCAAACTGGGTTAGGTGATTTGCCTAGGGTCAAACAGCTAGTACCCACCTGGTTGAACTCAGGTCTTCCTGATTTCAGGCCCAGTGCTGTATCCACTGTACCACCTAAGTGCCCTTTATTTTACAGATGAGGAAGTAGAAGCCCCCAGGAGTTAGAATGATTGGCCAGAGATTGCACTGCTAATTGGTGGCAGAATTGGGTTTTAAACCCAGGTCTCCTGACTTTCAAAAATGCAATGAGTTGTCTTAAGAAGTTGTAACTACCCCTCCTTTCCCACCAACCCCTGGGCTCCATCATGGCCTTGGAGGTCTTCAAGCAGAGGCTACCTTTTCAGGTAACTCCAGAAGTGTAGAGAAAATGTTGACTCAGCCATTGTGACGTGAGCGAGTTCAAATCTAGCTCCTCCAGAGGAGATCTAGATTGAGCAGAGGGAGCAGCTGAACAGGTAAATACCACTAACCTCATTGCTTAAATAAGCCTTTACTTCCTAGGGTACCAAATAAAAACAATCAGCTTGTCATTTTCACATGAGGAACTCTGCATGGCTACCCTAAAGGAAAGAATTCACAGTAAAACTCTAGGAATGGAAAAGTCAACTCTAGTACATTACCCAGCTGCCATTTTCTGGAACACATGGTCTCCATCATCCAGATTGGTAATGCTGGTTCAAGCATTGCAATAGCCATGTTTGCAAAGCAGATCGACCCTTTAATAAAGAAGAGAGTTTGCTTTCATTTGGGCTCTGAGGTCTCTACTTAACTCTCCTTTGCCTCTTCATTTAAGAAACTTTTACTAAATACCTGTTACTGTGCTGGGAAGATAGAAAAAGGTAAGACAGTTAATACATCCAAGGAGCTTCCAATCTAATATGTGTGACAAGACATGAACATATAATTATAGTTCAAATAGATATGATCAGCATGAAAAATACACATAAAATACATGTAAAATACATGTACGCAGTATGTAAAATCCACATGTTCTGTAATCAGATTAAAGAAAACTACTTCCAGTTGATATCCTCTTATTCTTTGTCTATCTACTATTTGTCTTATACATTATTGCCCCATGCAATTTTCCTAATGCATCATCCTGATACTTAAGAACCTTCAGTGATTCCCCTTGGGCATAACCTCCTGATCCTGGCCTTCAAGGCCTTCCACAATCTGGCTTCAACTGACTTTCTTCATGGTTCCACCAAAATATGCTACTCTCAGTCATCTCTCATCCTGGCTTGCCTTTTTCTGTGCCTTTAGACAATCTACTAATTTCTATCTGTTGGAGATTCTCTCTTCCTTTGAGACTCAGATGATTTTCCCTATGGAACTTTCCTTTCCTGGCACCCACCTTTTCCACACCGCCACTCCCCCTTTACCTCCTCAAATTCTCATAGCCCTTTGCCCAAGTTTTCCCTTTGCGCTTATCCCATGGTGCTTTGCATCACAATTATTCATGTACATGTCTTTTTCCTCACTAGATGATAAGGATCTTGAGAGCAGGGTCTATTTGATATGTATTTGGATATCTCAGCCACTAACAGCGTGCACAGTAGGTGCTTTATAAATATTTGTTGAACTGAATTGAGGTGGCACATTAGCTGAGCCTTGAAAAGTTCAGTCTTTCTGAATAACAGTAACTATCTTCATCCAGATTCAGAACCATCAGCTTAAATTCCTTTTTTCCTACACTATTCTGAGAAAGAGATAAGTAAAATACTAACAGAGAGCCAGAACAGCATAGAAAGCCAGCTTCAGAGTCAGGAAGACATGGGTTCAAAACCTGCTGCTGTCCCATACTGGCTATGTGACCCTGGGTAAGTGACAGAGCCTTCTATGTTCTAGACAACTCTCTAAGACTTGAAGTTGCAGAGAAGATGATAATATGCACTGGTAGAGGGAGTTTCCTCACCTGGGAGTTCTCTTAACCAATGACATCCCATTTCCCATCCTTCCCCTAAGATGGTTCCAAGAATTCTTTTATTTTTCCTTTAGAGCAATATCCAGAGTATACTTTTTTATCAGTACAATGCAGATCAATCCTCTCTGCTAGTTATGGAGGAAGAATCAAGCAAATAGATCATTAAAAAATAAATTTATTAAGCACCAACTATGTGCCAGGCACTGTACTGAACAATGGGGATACAAAAAGAGGCAAAAGACAGTCTCTGCCTTCAAGGAACTTACAATCTAATGGAAAGAAAGACATCAGATTGACAGCCCACCTACTGTACTGGTGCCTCTAAGATGTTCAAAGAACAGAGGGAAAAGTGCCAGTGTTTTGGGTAGAGCCCCTGTTGGGCAAACACAGTAAAATAAAATAATAAATAAAAATAATCTTTGTAAGTGCTTCTAATTCTTAGAAAAAAGATGAATCTATTAAGTCACTATGGTAACTCTCAGGGAATCAAAATATTCAATTAACCAGAGCACCCCATTCATTCGCTAATCATTTGGAACAAATAGGAGCTTCCTGTACTATTCTTTGAACCCAATTAGAGGGGCAAAGAATATTGATTGCATCAGTCAGCACTACCATCCACCCTCTGTTGACTGACTTCAGCCCTCATAGAACCAGGGCAGTAAAGATTACAGTATTTACATAATGAAGAAAGCAAAGGATTTTGTCATTCTCATGACATGTAAAGGCCATCTGTACAAACAATGCTCAAATATAAAAATACAAATATATCTCCCTTCCTTTGACCACATGTAAGCTGCAGCACCTGGAGCTGTCAATAGTTTGACATTTAGTGCTGATTGCCCTTTTTTTTTTCTTTCTGCGGCTGGAAGAAAGGGGCAAAAGCAGAAAGGTAACAGCTCCCCCAGCAGCTGCTCCAAATGCCCTCTTTCTCCCTGGAGTTCTGCTCCCACTCTGTTGTCCCAACCTTGGTTATGTTCACCGTGCCTAGCAAGGGTTTTCCAAGTTACACAGAGCATTGAGCTGCCATCTTCACTGCCTGTTTGTGACTCCTGTGAGAAATGCAATTCCATAGCCCTGTTTCACAGATGGAAAAACCAAGGTCTAGGAAACTTCCCTAATGTTCCCAGAATATGTCTGTGGACAAATAATGAAGAAGTATTCTAGTTGCTGACTATCCCATAGAATAATCATTGTCATTAACCCTTGTCCATGAAAATCATCATAAAAGCAAAGCTTTACTTCATATAGCTGGTAATTAGTTTATGGAACTCATTACCCACAAGAAGTGGTAATGACAGGAGAGCTTAATGAATTCCAAAAGGATTTGGACTAATTTATGAATAGCAGATCCAGGAAAGGCTACTGAGAAACTGGACAGTGCTTCAAGGCTGACCTTAGGGAAGACAGCCAGGCTGCTTGGAACAAAGCTTTTGGATCTCCTCTTGGCTACAGGATAGTGATCTAGTAGGAGAGATTACATTAGATATCTAGTTCAATCCTTACCTAAAGCATGAATTCTCTCTGTGTCTTCAATATGTGATCACTCAGCACAGTCTGAAGTCCTTCCATGAAGATTCTTCCATGAAGTCCTTCACTACCACCCAAGGCAATCATTTCATTTTTTAACAGCTCTAATTATCAGTAAGTTTTCTCTTACAATTAGCCTAAATCTGTCTCCCATAATTTCTATTTGCTGGCCCCACTTCTTCCTATATAAGATAATCAACCTATTTTTTTTTGTCAAACCTGATATTAACAGAGAGAAGCCAACTTTCAGCTACTAGAAAATGTGAACAGGAAAGATCTTTGGTGAAAAACTACTTAGGGGGCAGCTAGGTGGGCTCAGTGGATAGAGCACCAGCCCAGAAGTCAGGAGGACCTGAGTTCAAATACGGCCTCAGACCAAACACTTGATACTTACTAGCTGTGTGACCCTGGGCAACTCACTTAACCCCTATTGCCTTAAAAAAATGTAGAAAAAAAAAGAAAAACTACTTAACCCATTCCTATTTGCAGGAGTCATAAAGTCCTCAAGGGTTGGGTTTTATTTTTAGTCTTCTTGTTTCAGAGGTATAAGGGATCCACCTAATTTAACCAGTATCTACCTTAAAAAAAAAGGTTGGCCTTTCTGTTGTTTCTCAGATATTTTATTTATCTTAGAAAATCATTCATCTCACCATACCATTCAGCACTTTCAGGGACTGTTGTCTGCCTTGGTTCAAATATGCCAAAATAAATTAGGCTGACTGGCTAAGATGTCTGCAGTTAGACTGACTGCTCATTTCCCAAGAGTTCAAAGGAAAGACAGCAATGCCTTTGGCATACAGGTATTATATTCCGTATTCAACAAAATGTGTGTGTGTGTATGTATGTGTCTGAATAGTACCAGTTACACATTTGTGGGCTACCTTAGTCAGAAAAAAGATAATGTGGCCTGAGCTTCAGAGACTATTCAGGGTAGAAAATTTTTATGAAACATGGTTATTTATGTATATATATATATACATATAAAATACATATACACACTTTTTTTTTGGACCAGACCCATGATTTCATGGATTTAGGAATTCCCAGTGAAGAAATTCTATCTCCCAAGGCAAATCTACACCTGTTTTGCAATTTACAGTCTTAGGGGATTGCTTGGTAAACTGAGGCAGGTTAAATGACTTGCTCAAGATCACACAGCCACTGTGTCAGAGGCAAGATTTGAATCCAAGTCTTCCTGATTCCTAGTCTAGATCTTTATCCATTACAGTGTAATCCAAACTTCACAGAACAAATCCCCTTGATAAAAGGATTTGTTCTGTAAAACTTGGAGTCATTCAAAAGGCTGCACCCAAGGACCTAGAAGGCCACATGTGACCTAGAGGCTGCAGGTTCCCCACCTCTGCATTACACCATTAGTTGTCTCTTCGTCTTCTTCTCCCTTTCTCCCTCTCCCTATATCTCTAGCTCTGTCTGTGTCTCCTGTCAACATATATATGGTTTTCCAAAAGTCTTAGTTCAGTTTAAAACTATTAAAGCTTTTATATATGTATACATAATGCATATGATATATACACATGTATGTGTGCATATATAGGAGTATACATATACATATTTCTCTTATTTTCCCTCTCTCTTTCTGTGCTTCTAGCTCTCTCTCTACCTCTGTCTCTGTGTCTTCCTTTCTGTCTGTCTGTCTCTCCATATATAGTTAGGGAAACTGATGTGGCTAATGGAAGGCCTGATGCCAAAACTCCCTCCGAGGATATATATCTGCAATTAGTAGCTTAGAGTCTTAGAGCTACTTGGGGGTCCTTCCGAGATCACGTGGCTTAGCCATAGTCACACAGCTACTATCTCCGTGTCAGCAGCAGGGCTTTAAAGCAGGTCTTCCTGACTCCAAAGATATCCCTCAGACTACAACACCACTTTTTTGGATATCACACACACACACACACACACACAGGCGCTCGTGTGCAGTTTTTTTTTTTGTAAAATCCATTTTTGTTAAGGAGAAGAATCATTCTGAAAACACTAACTACCTGCAGCGATTAAGATGTAGGGATCCTTCAACAGGGTGACTAACGAGGTTCCTTTCTGACTCTGCCAAAGAGAGAACTCAGGGTTAAAAGAAGGTGCATTCCCAGTTTATCGGCGAAGACACTATTGTAGCCCTACTTACTTCAGGTTGAACCCTGGATGGTTGGAGAACCAACAGCTGAATAGCTGCAAAGAAAAAAAAAAAAAAGACCAAGAGCAACTTCAGAAAGTAAGCTTTGAGGATTTCTAGCCCAATTCTTGCTGTTGTCTCTACTAACCTCCATCCAGCAGAGTTAAGGCAGCCAGCACCAGGAAAGGAGCAGTCTTCCCCACAAATTCGTACATCACACTTCCAAAGGGTGGCCCCACTATAGAGAAAAAAGAAAGGGAAGATTCCTAATCTCCATGGAGTGACTTAGCCGGGATGGTCACAGAATGGCCCTGTTCGTTTTATAAGTTTAAGGTGTCCTAGCAATCAATTTTTTTCTGGGGATCAGATTGACCAGGGCAAAAACTGTAAACATTCTTCTGAAACCTAACCCTGAAAGGAATGGTCAGTCAGGGAGAATCAGTATCCCAGTTATTAGACTGGGTCTTTGGACTTGAAAAAGCATCTCCTACGAGCACAAGGGGATATGTGAAGGAGAATATTACTTACTTAGAAATCGACAAGGGTATGCCTTTTAAGTTTCTAAACTCAAAGTAAAAGAGGGAAGGGTAGAGAAATTGGAATCCTGAATCTCCCATTCACGGAAGCCAGCAAGTGATAAGATCACACACACACACACACACACACCCCCCCTCATCTTGCCCCCCCCCCCAGATACTAGTAAACCCTTTCCAGATGAGGATGGATTGAGGAAGGAGGGTAAGAACCATACTGTCACCGTGAGTTACATCTTCTGGGTCATACCAGTCAGTTCTTGTTAGGGGTAAATCTCATTCTCTTTCTCTTTATAAGGAAATTAGAGTTAGCTTGCTAGCATCAGTGCTGAGCTATAAAGGAATGATTCAAAGGGATGTGCTGTGACTCAAAGGAGCAATACTTTATTTTCCTGGGGGGGCCCTCTCTCTACGTGCCAGTGGAGGCCCACTTCCCAAACAACTAGGAAAAGAGATTTCTCTCCTTGAGCTCCACTTTATAGCCTAACACTTTCCCCCTATTTCCTGTCCTTCAACCTCCATGCATCTAGTGTTCTCTTCTGGGGAAGCTCATCTCTAGATCCAGCAGTAACAACATATATCCAGCCTTTGATTTCACATTGGTCCTGGAATCGTGCACTCAGGGGTTGTGTAACCAGCTAGCCCTGGTCCACTGACTCCTCCCTGGGGGGAGGTTGGACAGAAGGGATTATACCTCTAGTGAAACTGATTAAGGTAGCTGCATGATTAATAGGAAGAAGGAAGGAAAGGTACAGTTCCATACAGTCCAGTCAAGCAACAATTTTCCCCTAGGTTGTTTAAATACTTTAGTTTTACCAACCTAGCACTCCCAAAGCAAGTCCTCCCAAGGCAATTCCCATGGCATTGCCTCTTTCTTCATCATCCGTGTAAACGCTGGCCAGCATACCCATCCCTAAATAAAAATTTTCAAAAATCAATGCAATATAATAAAGGGAATTATTTTCTTCTTTAGTCCGCATGCTCTGTGTATATTGTCTTTGCCTTTCTTTGCATCCCCAGCACCTGGTGAAGTACCTGGTACATAGTAATTGCTTAATAAATGCTTGTTGACTGATTGGTTGATATATTGATCTGGTACATTCAGATAGAATAATATAGAAAGGTGCCATACTGAGAGTCAGAGGAACTGCGTTTGAATCATGGCTGTCAATTGCTACCTGGGTGACCTTTCTGTAAAATGAAGAGGTTGGCCTAGATAATCTCCAAGGTCAATAAGCAAGTCAACAAGAATTTGTTAAGGGTTTACTATGTGGCAAGCACAGCACTAAGTCCCCTGCCAGCTTTACATGTTTGATCCTGGGCCCTCTAAGGTCCTGGTTTTCGTTCTATATGCTGATGTCAGACAAGATCTGAGGCCTTTTAGAAACAGTCGAGATCGAGCAGCATTCCTGGCACCATGTCAGACAGAGTAGGCCTTAGACACCCTGTATCTAATGTCACAATGAATTGGATTGTTCCTCAATAATTAAATAAGTAAACAGAAAGTAGGGATAGGATGGTCACTGGGGGAGGGTGGGAGGAGAGGTTTGAGCACACATTGTAGTTCATTGAATTGAGTGGATGTGTCTGTACTCACCAGCTACAGAAGAGCAAGAAGAGCCCACACCTTGCAAGGATCTTGCTATGAGGAGTAATGTGTAACTCCCAGAAAAAGCAAACACTGCCAAGAGAACAGAGGGGAAGCAGAAAAGAAACCAATTCAAGTCTCATTGCAGTGGGTATTAAAACATTCTAAATTGGGACTGAATGAACGTGATGGTGGTCATGCTTGGTGCTAATAATAACACTGTGTCATTTGCTTGCATTTAGAGATATTGATTTTTCTTCTGCAATTGCTAAGTGTATGTAGAACAAGGGTTCTTACCCTGGAGTCTATGAATTTTTTAAAAAAAATATTTTGATAACTATTTGAATATAATTGGTTTCCTTTGGAATCCTACATATTTTATTTTATGCATTAAAAACACTCTGAGAAAGGGTCCTTAGGCTTCACCAGACTGCCAAAGGGGGTCCATGGCACACCAAGAAGGGGCACTGGGGATATTGGAGCACCAGCTAAAGTTCTTCCCCTCAAACCCTATCCCTGATTACTTATAAGGTGGGAAGGAAGACATCAAGCAGCAACCTAAGGATTCAGTAGCATCCCCTGCTGTGCCAACATTTCTACAGGAATAATAAAATGCTCTAATAATATTAACTCATATTTACTCAGTGTTTGCAAAGCATATTTCTTCCCCATGACAACCCTGTGAGACAGGAGGTATGAGTCTTCTGATTCCCAATTTCATATGGACAAGGATCCTTAATTTCAAAGAGGTGAAATGACTCACCATGATCACACAGTTAATAAGTGTCAGAAGGGGGCTTAGAACTCAGGGTCTCCTGATCCTAACCTAGCATGCTTATTGGAATAACATAGCTCAGACAGTTGACTGCTCAGGAACTCTTCTATGGAATCCATGAGTTGTTGGGGAATAGAATTTCTTCAGTATCCCCCATTCTTCTGAGTTCCCTGTTACTGACTGGCTGAGCTGTCAGTTAGCATGAAGCCAGCTATCAGTGGCATAGGGGCCAATTAAAACCATCTCTGGATGATCTGATGCTAGTTAACAGCTCATTGAGTGAGAGATAGAAAGAGAATGGGAGAAGGAGTAATCATCTATTTCTGAGGTCCCAGCCCAGCCCAGTCTCTGATGTTTAACATTCCAATCCAGGATACAAACAGCATGTACTTACTGATAGTGGACACAAACATTATACAGAATCCTGCGAACATTGGAATCTGGTAGCCTATTCTGTAAAACAAAACCAACAGAAATATGTCAGGGCTGCCCTCAATTGTGCTCTTTGGTGGTGGTGGGGGGGGGGGAGGCAGAGAAGAGAAGGGGAGAGAGGAAGAAAGAATTAATTGTTGACTATTTTAAAAATATTTGATTCGTTGGAGCAAGATGCAGACATTAAAAGTTCATCTCTAATAAGGTGTCTCTCACTCATGTATTAAAATCATATGAGATTCCTTGATAGATACAACCCACCCTTTCTCTCTGGTTGATTTTCTTTTGGATGAAGGGAAGGGAAAAGTATTCAGTCAGTAACATACCTGCTACTTCCCATCTGACCTTTCCTTGTTTAACTATCTTCAAGTATAAATTCATTCATATGTGGCTAGTATGTGGCATTCATGTTTGGCATAAATATAAAGGCAATATTTGCTCCAGTAGAATGTAAGCTTCCTCATAGTAAAAGCTGTTTCCTTTTTTGCCTTTGTAGTCCAGTGCCTGTCAACATAACAGGTGCTTAATAAAATTTTTTCTTGATGGAAGTCCATCAAATGGGGAATGGCTAACCACCATGGTACTTGAGTATAATGGAATATTACTATTCCAAAAGCAATAACAGACATTAAGAATTCAGAGAAACACAGGAAGACTTACATGAACCAATACAGAATGAGGAAAGAAAACAATATGACTACAACAATGTTAATAAAAAGAATATAGACATTAAAAACAGGAATGCAATATACACAATGACTACAATGAGAGAGCATAGACATATAAAATAAATACAATGACTACAGTGATGTTATTAGAGAGAATATATATAAAAACCTGAAATCTGTTTAATTATAAGAACCAAGCTTGTTCCTAAAGAAGAGGTAAAACATTGATTATCTCTCCCTTTATCTCCTATGAAGGAGTAGTAGTAGAAAAAGCAGTAGGTTGAGAATCAGAAGACCACCTATGTTCTCGTCCTAATTCTGTTACTGACTAGATGAGAGATTTTGGGCAAATCATTTCCTTGGGTCTCTGTTTCCTCATCTGTCAAATGAGTGGGTTCAACTATATGATGTATGAGGTGTCTTTCGGTTCTGATATTGTGATGATGATTCCAACTTTACAGATGAGAAAACTGAGGCAAGGAACAGTTGAATGATTTATGATATGAGTCTAACACATTTCCCATTATACCAAGTGTTCTCTTAATCCAATTCATTCCTATTCTGCATGTACCCAAAATAGACTATCAAAAATACAAATGGATTGTCACAATTACTCAATGGTCCCCTGGCAGACCCCAGAAGGTACATGTACCTTTGTTATTATAATGACATGCTTAGATATTTGTATGTGTGCATGCATGTGCATGTATATGTTATGTTTATGTAATGCACAATGATGCATTTATTTATTTGCTTCATTAAAAAAAACTATCAGGCCAGGCATTATTTTTCATTTTGTCTGTATCCTGATCTCAGTGTCTTGCACAGAGTAGATGTTTAATAAGTGTTCATCAAAGACTTAGAACTAGGGGGGACCTTAGAAGGCCATCAAGTCAGGCATTCTCATTTTACAGATAAAGAAGCTGGAGCACAACAGGGTTAAGTGACCTGCCGAGAGTCACATGGCTAGCAATTGTCTGAGGCAGGATTTGAACCCAGTTCTTCTTGACTTAAAGCCCAGTGCTCTATCCACTACTCTGCTCCTTAAATGAATCAACTGTGTAAAGTAGGAGAATATCTTTCCCTTAGCTATTTATATTCTATTTTGCATTGTGGTCCTTTCTGTGTATGTTAAATTGCCCATTGTCTCTCCAACATGACCCATAACTCCCCACCTTTATTAAGCCTGTTCCTTGTAGTACTTGACACTTCCTTTTAACTGCCCGTCAACCCCCCTTCTCTGCTTGCCAACATTCCACTCATTCTTTAAGGTCCAATTCAAATGACACCAGCTTCATTCAGTAAAGCCCTCACTGATCCCCCCCAAATAAAAATGATCCCCTGCCCCATTTGCTTTCAGAGGACTCTATTTCCTCTTATTCATTTAGCACATACTCATTTGTCTTAGCTGTGCCTAGTCTTATCTCTCTTACTGGATTGTAAACTCCTTGGGGGTAGAGATGATGGCTTCCTTATCTTTGAAGTTCTAAGACTAGGCTTTGCCAATAGGTAGTGATTAATAAATGTTTATTGAATTTAATTCCCCATGGGACGCTACCCTGTACTTTCGAAAGGCAGCTTGGCTTTACTGAATTAGGAGGCAATGTAGTAAATGGAAAGGGCACTGAATCTGGAGGCAGAGGGTCTGGGTTAAAATCTCAGCTTTGTTGCCTTGGGGAAGTCTTTTTGACTCTCTGGGGTTGATTTTCTCATTTGTAAAATGAGGGGATTGAACTAGATTATCTCCAAGATTCTCCTCCCCTCCCAAGTCTGCTATCCTATCATTGAATTGAATTTCTCTGTCTCATATTTTACACTTTGGCCTCTCCCTCTCTCTCTGTCTCTCTCTCTGTCTCTGTCTCTCTCTCTGCTCTCTCTCTCTTTGTGTCTCTCTCTCTGTCTCTGTCTGTGTGTGTGTTTCTCTCTCTCTGTCTCTCTTTCTCTCTCTCTCTATCTCTCTGTCTCTCTCTCTTTCTCTCTCTTCCTTCTGTCCCCATAGCCCAGCTTGATTTTTTTCGATTAGGTAAAGAGGCCATTCTCTGCCTCATTTCTTACCTATCCTTAATCACTGAATGGGTGCTGCATCAAACTGAGACCAGTTAAAGACTTTAGCTTAAAAAGGCCAAGGTCTCCCACTGTATCCAGGGCCATCTCCAGTTGTCCTGGTCTATATCTCACCACTGGAACCAGATGGCTTAGGAGGAGAAAGTGAGGCTGGTGACTTTGCACAGCCCTCCCTCACTTAAATCCAATTCATTTGCATGTCATGACATAACCTCTGATGTCATGGTCCTCTCCCAGAATGAAAGACAGAGTAATAACAATCCCTATAGCCAGAGGCAGGGTAGTCTTTGTAGCATTGATGTGGTGTAGGATGGAGATGAAAGGAGAAAAGGAAATAGGATACATCCCTTCATTCTAATGGCCAGGACAGCTCTCCTAGAAGCCAGCTGTGACCTGGTGATTAAACTTTTTTTTTAGCCTTGTCTTTTTCCATGGATTCAATTAAATTTAGCAAATATGTATGGAATGTATCTTGAAAAAATAATAAAATTCATCTGTGGGAATAAAAGGTCAAGACTCTCAAGGGAAATAATGAAAAAAAAAAGAGAGAAAGTAGGGAGCCTAGCAATACTGGATCTCAAACTGTATTACAAAGTAGTAATCATCAAAATGATTTGGTACTGGTTAGGAAACAGATGAGTCAATCAGTGGAACAGATTAGGCCTGCCCTATGAGGGTCACATTCACTGTCTGACAAAAACTGCTGTGACAGCTAGGAAGCAATCTGGTAGAAACTAGATAGTTATAGACCAACATCTTGGGCCACACACCAAGATAAGGTCCAAATTGCTACATGACTTTAACATAAAATATGACTTTATAAATAAATTAGAGGAGCCAGGAGGAAATTACCTGTCAGATCTATGGATAGGGGAAGAGGTCCTGACCAAGCAAGGGATAGAAAGGATCACAGAGGAGAAAACAAACACTTTTTATTACATCAAATTAGAATGTTTTTTGAACACACACACATACACACAAATGAATGCAGCTAAAATTAGAAGGGAAAAAAGCTAGGAAAAAAGTCTTTGCATCAAGTTATGTGTCTCTATAAATTTATAGGAATAAGAACTATTCCTCAATTGATAAATGGCCCAAGAATATGAACAGTCAAGCTTTCTAAGGAAAAAAAAATCCAAGCTACTAATACCCATACAAAAAAATGTTTTGCATCACTAATAATTAAAGAAATGCAACTTAAAATAGCTCTGAGGTTCTACTTCATGTATCTCAGACATAGCTTTTGATCCATCATAAGCTTATACCTCAGAGATCAAAGAAAGACAGAAAAGGCCCATGTGTACAAAAATATTTATAGCAGCTCTTTTTGTTGTAGTAAGGACCTGAAACTAAACATACCATCCACTGGGAAATGACTGAACAAGTTATGGCATATGAATTTAATGGAATACTATTGTGCTGTAAGAAAGGATGAAAGGAACTGTTTCAGAGAACATCTGAGAACCCTCGTATGAACTGATGCAGATTGAATTGAACAGAAGCGAGAGAACAATTTATTCATTATAAATGCAAACAACCCAGAAAGCCTTTTTATGTTGTTCAGTCATTTCAGACTTATCGTGACCCCATTTGGGGGTTTCTTGTCAAAGATACTAGAATGGTTGGCCATTTCCTGTTCCAACTCATTTTACAGATATGAGGCTACTGAGGCATATAGTGTTAAGTGACTTGCCCAGGGTCACACAGCTAGTAAATGTCTGAGGCCAGATTTGAACTCATGAAGATGAATCTTCATGCACTCTATTTACTGTACCACCTAGCTGCCCCACTGAAAACCTTAAGAATGCTGATTAATGCAATGATCAATCATTATTCCAGAAGACAGATGATGACACATGCTACTCAACTTCCTGGCAGAGAGGGAATGGACACAGGGTGGAGAATGAGGCATATATTTTTTGTTATTGTTCTGTCATTTCAGTTGTGTCCAATTCTTCATGACCCCATTTAGGGTTTTCTTGGCAAAGACTCTGGAGTGGTTTACCATTTCTTTCTCCAGCTCACTTTATGGATCAGAAAGCTAAAGCAAACAGGGTTAAGTGACTTGCCCAGGGTCACACAGCAAGGAAGTATCTGAGGCCAGATTTGAATTTAGGGTGATAAATCTTCCTGACTCCAGGCCTGGCATTCTAGCCATCTAGCCATCTAGACATGACCAAAGGTGGAATTTGTTTTACTTGGCTGCATGCTTGTTACAAGAGTTTTCCCCCTCCTCAATGCAATGGAAGGTGGACAGAAGGAAGAAAAATAATTTTTAATTTAAAAAGT